CGAAAGGTCAATTTTTAGTCGCAATGAGCCACGTGGCCATGCGGGGGGGGGTGTCTGTGTCCCCAGAAGGCGCTTAGGAAGTTGGGTCAGAACTTGGGAGAGGAAGTTGTGGGTGGAGGACGAACTGTCCCACCACAGGCCATTTCCCTGGAAATGGGGGGCCACCCTCCACTCAGCTCTTCTTGGGTCAGAAGGTCAGAATGTTCCAGGCACCCGGAAGGGGCCATGGGGGGCCAGGTGGGCGCCCCACCCCCACCCCGGTACTCCTGCTGCCAGAGAGACAACTCCATCCTGGGCAATGAGCCACACCGCAGGTCCTGGGGTAGAGTCAGACTCAGATAAAGGGTCTCCCCAACTTGAAACAAAGTTCAATTTCATCTTTCAATTCACACAGCAAAATTCTCTCTCTCAGGGCTGGAGCAATAGCACAGCGGGTAGGGCATTTGCCTTGCAGGCGGCCAACCCAGGTTCAATTCCCAGCATCCCATAGGGTGCCCCTGAGCACTGCCAGGAATAATTCCTGAATGCAGAGCCAGGAGGAACCCCTGTGCACCGCCAAGTGTGACACCCAAAAAGAAAAAGAATTCACTCTTTCTCTCTCTCTCTCTCTCTCTCTCTCTCTCTCTCTCTCTCTCTCATTTTTTTGGCCATATCCTGCAGTGCTCAGTGATCTCCACTCAAGAATCACTCCTGTAGGACACAGGGAATCATCTGGGGTGGCAGGGACTGAACCCAGGTTGGCTCCGTACGAGGCAAGTGCCCTCCTCTCTGTCCTATGGCCCAGGCCCAACTTCATTTGATCACTTGACTTCCTGTTAATCATCGATTTGCTCGAGCGGCCGCCAGTAACGTCTCCATTCATCCCTGTCGCCTGCTAGTGTAGCCCAATGGCATCTGTTCGTGCTAGGAACACGAAGAGCCTCAAACTGATGATTCAGGGTCTTGACGAAGAAGTTTGACCATCTTGTAGGTGGGCGGCCACACGGTCTTTTGATGTCCATTGGAGTCCAGTCGATAACAGCTCTAGTCCTGCGGTCATCTCCAAATCTCATTACGTGTCCAGCCCATCTGATTTTTGACGCCTTGGCAAACGAGACAGCGTCCCCGATTCTTGACCATCAACGGAGGTCGGAAAGCCGGATTCTTTCTCTTATTTGAGTGAAACATGATACTCCAAGCATAGCTCTTTCAATTCCTCTTTGGGAGACCCAAATAGCATTCTCATCCTGTTTTCGTAGGGCCCAGGCCAACTGTGCCAACATCACTACTTTCACTATTTTCTAACTCTAAGCCTGAGTATCTTTATTATGCAAGGCTTTCGTTCTTGGAAATATTGAAGAACCTGGGAACCGTGACAAACACAGAGCCCGAATCAGCACCCCATGGCGCCCTCCCCACCACAGCATGGCTGGAAGTGCCCCCCCACCATAAACACTAATAAGAAACACCAGAGGCCTGAGTGATAGGACAGTGGGGAGGGGGTTTGCTTTGCATTCAGCCGACCCGGGTTTGATCCACAGCACCCCCATATACTTTGCCAGGAGTGATCCCTGAGCACAAAGCCAGGAATAAGCCCTGCGTTCTGCCAGGTATGACCCATAAAAAAAAGAAAAAAAAAGAAACTTGACTCAGGAGGGCCCACTCCCCCGACCCCTCGCTACCCACCGGTGTATGTCAGTCTGGGAGACTAAGCCACACAACTTTAAGTTCCTTGTAGCTTCTCTGAGTGGCCTGTTCTCGGGACTCTGTGTTAGAGAAAGTTCCAGCACTTTTCCTCAGATCCTCTTCTTTGGGTGGGGAAGCCTCTCCCTTCCCCTGCTACTATTGTGATGGCTGTGATGCCCACACACGCCAGACTGCCCTGGGCTGTAGCTCACTGGACACCTCTGGCCTCAGTGCTGCTGGGCCAGGACAAGAGAGTCCAAGGGTCCTTCTGGCCAGGGTCCGCCCTGCCAGGCGCTCTGCCTCTGAGTTCTGCCTGGCCTGGGGCTTTGTTCGTTGGGATAACTAACTCTTCCACTGCATTCGTGGACTGCCCTGTTGGCGGGGGCCTGTCTCTGGCCTTCCTGGCGGTGGCCCGTGGGTTGTTCCTCCACTGTGCTCTGCAGACATGGGCCGCTCTGGACATTCCCAGACATGCTCTGATGTGGATTTCCCAAGTAGCTAATGATGCCGACCTTTTGATCACTTTTCCATCACCTTTGGAGAAAGATCTATTAAGTCCTTAGTCCAATTTTTTGGTGGGGAGGGGAGTTGCCAGGGGTCCCTCCCTTTCCAGCCAAGCAGGCTGAGGATTCAATGGGAGGATGCAGCGCTTCTTGGGCCCTGGGATACCAGGGATCACCCTGTTACTCTAATGGTGCCAGTGGACCTCCAGAGCTGCGCCCACTAGTGTTTGGGGGACCATGTGGTGCCGGGGATCAAACTAGGGTCAGCTGCATGCAAGGCATACGCTTTAACCCCTGGACTAGCTCTCTAGCCCCTGCCCAATATTTTTTGGGGAAGGGAGGTTAGGCCACACCTGGAAATGCTCAGGGATTACTCTTGACCCTGCAATCAAAAATTACTCCTGGCAGGGCTGGAGCGATAGCACAGCGGGTAGGGCGTTTGCCTTGTACGCAGCCAACATGGCCGACCCTGGTTTGATTCCCAGCATCCCATATGGTCCCCCGAGCACCGCCAGGAGTAATTCCTGAGTGCATGAGCCAGGAGTAACCCCTGAACATCGCCGGGTGTGACCCAAAAAGAAAAAAAATTACTCCTGGCAGTGCTAAGGGGACCATATGGAATACCAGGGATCAAACCAGAGTTGGTCGCATGCAAGGCAAGTGCCTTACCTGATGAACTATCACTCTGGCCTCAGTATTTTTTTAAAATACTAATATATTTTTATTAAAATAATTTAGATATCATGGTGTTTCACTAATAATTTTTTTTTATTGCTTAGTTCTGGAAGCCAGCAGTCTAAGATCAAGGCCTGTCCAACCATCTCCCTCTGGCCTCAGTATTTTTTAACTGGATTTCTTTTATTGCTGTTATGGGACCAGAGTACAGTGGGTAAGACATTTGTCTTGCACGTGGCTTACCCAGCAGGTTCAATTTCTGGCATCCCATATGAGTTCTTCCTATATTCTGGTTGCTAGACCATTATCAGATGGTGACTTACATTCGTTCTTCCATTCAGTAGGTTGTCACATGGGGTGTCAACCGATACACTCCCCATACCCAAGTGAAGCCAAAAGCACCAGCCAAGAGAAAGCAGGACGCCTGCGCAGAAGTCTGTGGGACCAGGCGGGACAGATACGGGACTAATTAGTGGGCTGGCAGCTCCGTGCTCTACCCTGAGTGTGGGAGGAGACACCTGGGGAGACACCTGGGGCTTAGCAAACGACCTTGGGGGTGCAAGGTGCAATCAGGGCTTGGTACCTAAGGGGCTACTTGTCAAGCGTCCCCCACCCAAGTTAAAGCGATCCGTCAAGATGCGCGCCACCTCCCTGCACGACCAGCAGAGGGCAGTATCCTCCACCAGAGCAGAGCGCTCCTGTCCTGCACCATTCGGCCGCCAGGGGTCGCTCAGTACAGGGCTGGGCTGCTGGAACCCGGACCTGGAGACCAAACGTTTACTCGCTGCTCTCCCATGCACGGAGCAGGCGAGAGAGAAGGAGCGCGCAAAAGGAGCTCCAACTGCCTAGTGAAGCTATGGCCGCGAGGCAAAGGGAGCGCTTTTGAGGGGTGGGATGGGAGATGCTGCTTGCTTAGAAGGTTTGGTGGGGAGAGGTCTCATCCCCATGTTCCCCCTGGCCCCGTGGGGATCCCTGCAGTGCCACATCCCTTGCCCAATGCGAACGCTACCCACATCCTGGTACCTCTAGGTTCCCCTGCCCACCAAGTGTGGGCCACATCGCTCCCAGACTTGCCACCTCTCAAACCTCTGGCCACCTGGCCTTTTCTTCCCCCCACTCGAGGTCCCATGGTATTGAGAGGGACGTGTCAGTATTTCCGGATTTCTGTCATCGGCGGGGCTGGACGACCCGCAGGCCTCAACCACACAGAGCACCCAGTCCAGCAGCAGTGACGGTCACCGGTGGAGGGTAGGGCTGTGGCTCAGACGCACAGTGCTTGTAGGTGTGAGACCCTGAATTGGATACCCCATACTGCAAAAAAAAAAAAAAAAAAAGACAACGTGTGGGGAACCCCCCAGACAGTGGAGAGGGTGTGAACCAGGGGGCTGGGATGGAAGCACCACGCAAAGAATAAGGCAGGGAATAGTTACAGCACCCGGGCAACACAGAGGGTGGCCCGAAGAACAATCGTGGCCAATTCCACGCCAGAGTGGCAAGAGAACCATAGTTCAATATTGCTTTGCCATATTAACATATTAACCAACTTACCCAGAAACCACCCCAGTGCTCAGTTTTCCCATTAGGATATCTCTCTAGTCCGGCAATAAATACTCTTCATTAAGTATCATGGGCGGAGGCGATGACATTTTGAGTCGCGGAGGTTGTGGCAGGCTGTAATGTAGCCTTGAGACCTTGGATTAAACCCCCAGCACTGCAAGACCCCACAGTACAGCTGCGTCACCCCGGTGGCCCCCAAGTACGGCCCCAGTAGCAAAAAAAAAGAAAAAAGAAGTTCGGAGGGGCCAGGAACGGAGCTCAGCATTTGCACACTTGACTTGCCCAAGAAGGTTCGCCGTAGGCCCACATCATTTCTTTGACACATTCTTACAGGGACCCAATCCCAGACCACACATTGGGCAGAGGGGCGGGCAGGTAGGCGCGACCGGATTGGGCAGCTCGGCGCGGGGCGGTGCGGAAAGGCGCGACCGGTTTGGGCAGCTCGGCGCGGGGCGGGGCGAAAGGGCACGATCGGATTGGGCTGCTCGGCGAGGGGCGGGGCTGAAAGACGCAACCGGATTGGGCTACCCGGCGCGGGGCGGGGCGGAAAGGCACGACCGGATTGGGTTACTCGGCGTGGGGCGGGGCCTCGTGGGGAGGCGGGGTCTCCGGAAGCCGGCGCCGCAGTTGCCAAGGGAGATGTCGCGGGGTGGCGGAAGGGGCCGCGCGGCCGCCGGGCCGACCGCGCTGGCGGCCCCCGAGCCCCGCTGTCGCGGCTGGTTCTTCATTCCCGAGGTGCCTTCCGCCACCTTCTTCACCGCGCTGGTCTCCCTCGTGGTGTCCGGGCCCCGCCTGCTCCTGATGTCGCGGCCCTTGGCGCCCTCGAACCTCTCGCTCAAGATCGAGGCGCTGCGCAACTGGCAAGGTGAGTGGGTGGGGGGCGGGACCTGGACCCCCAGGCCTCTGGGGCCAACCCGGGTTTCACCGCCGCCACCCCGCGCCCTCCGTCCGCATCATCGCCAGTGCCCCCTCCTCCAGGACCTCCCCAGAGCCCCAGACTCGTCATCCCTGGCATCCTTCTTGCGCCCGGTGTGCGCCCCCCACAGACCGGTGCATCGCTGGTCAGCCAGTTTCATGCGTCCAGCCTTCACCTCCCAGCCAGCCTTAGCACCAGCCGCCACTGAAAGAATTAGCTCCCTTGCCTTCCCCGGGGACACACTCACACCTCGGGACCTGGACATTTCGCATACGGACACGAGTCCCAGAGTCCCAGAGCCCCAGCAGGGCATCTGGGCTTTGCAGAGCCTTTTGCTTGCTCTGGGGGAAAGAAATGTTTCAGATCAATTCAATATAAACATCTGCTCAAGGAAGACTCCTAGTCACCGATTCTCTCCAGGGGAAGGGATGCGGGGGAGGGGGTAAGGGAAATTGGTAGCGTGGTTCCGGCATGACCTGTGCACACCTGCTGGGTGGCCTTTGATTAATGCCCATGAGGGAGAAGAAGCTGGGGCTGGATTAGGGGTGCTGGAAGGGGAGGCTATGAAATCCAGATTCTCTTTTCAATTGCATGATATTCCGGATTGGGGTGTATGTAACCCACGCTTCTAGAATGTTCTCAGAAGTCTTCACTTTAGGGAAGGAGTTAACCACTAGTGTCGTGAATGGAAAATATTGAGGCCTTGCAGAGAAGGCCTGATGAGGGGTGGCTGGCTCACAACCTGTGACCCTAACCCGAAGCTGCCCCCACCCCCACAGCCACCTTGAACTGACATACAGCTGCACATTGACTCAGGCTGATGCAAAATGCTTGTGGAAGGCCACAGCCACTCACAGACCCTTCAGTGACCTTGGGGAGGGAGATAATCCTGTTTCTTTCCACTGAGGAGGCCCCTTCCCCAGCCCTTTAGGTTGCTGAGTTCATAATTTCTGCCACCTCTCTCTTTCTCTCTCCCTCTCTCTCTCTCTGCACCCCCCCTCCCTCCATCCCTCCCTCCTTTCATATAGTGCCCTGACCGCACTGTAGCACTGTCCTCCCGTTGATCATCGATTTGCTCGAGCGGGCCCAGTAACATCTCCATTGTGAGACTTGTTGTTACTGTGTTTGGCATGTCAAATACATCACGTGTATCTTGCCAGGCTTTGCCGTATGGGCAAGATACTCTTGGTAGCTTGCCAGGCTCTCCGAGAGGGGTGGAGGAATCGAACTCAGGTTGGCCAAGTTGGCCGCATGCAAGGCAAACGCCCCCTCTGTGCTATCACTCCAGGGCCATAAAATATACATCAGAAATAACCACTTGAGAGGCTGGAGCGGCAATACATCACATAAACTGCCTGCCCTGTACATGGCTGACTGTGGCTCAATCCCTGGCACCCCATATTGTCCCCCAAGTCTGCCAGGAGTATGCCCTGAGCAATGCTAGGATGGCCCCCAAACAAAACAAAACAGAAAAGAAAAAGAAAAAAAAGAACCACTTGAGGGAAAAGACCATTTTCCGGTTTGAAAGGCCTGCCTCCACTTGGAGGTCTCACTAAGACTCAGGACATCTATCTGAGTTGCCTCTATGATTAGCCTCAGTTCTACTATCTGTAGAGTTGCAAGGTCATTAACAGTCCCTCTTTTCTGCTCCTGAACAGCCACTATGGAAGGAGGGGCCGGGATTACCGCCAAGGAGCCTGGCACACAAGACAGTTAAGTGACACCTCTCAGTGCAGCCCTGACGTGGTTAGTATTAATTAACACTCAGACTGCCAGGTGAAATAGGTTAGTATTCAGACCAGAAAGCCGCCGGGCCCGGCCATGGCTCGGTAGGTGCATGCCTTGGCCTGCCTTGCATGCATGCATGTCGCATGCAATGAGGCCCCAGGTTCAACCCTCAGCACCACAAAGAGTGGTGAATCTGCTTAATTTCACGAAGCAGATTCAGAAACCATGGCGTGCGCAGACCACCTCATCTGTTTTCCCCCTGGAAGTGGGCTCCGGGTCTGGGAAAAAGGGCTTAGACATTCAGGCCTCAGCACTGAGCCAGGAGTCCTCTGTGGCTGGCATCCCCTGCCAGTCCTACTGACTTCTGTCGGCGCCCAGCTCTGTCCCCTGGGCACCGCTGCAGGGTGACCTGGTCCTCTCCCCGAGCACCCACTGCTGCCCGCAGGCCTCTGACCAGTTCTTTCTGCAGTTTACAGGCTGGTCACCTACATCTTCGTCTATGAGAACCCGGTGTCCCTGTTCTGCGGGGCCGTGATCATCCTGCGCTTCGCCGGCAACTTCGAGAGAAGTGTGGGCACCGTCCGCCACTGCTTCTTCACAGTGGTCTTCACCCTCATGACTGCCATCATCTTCCTGTCCTGTGAGACCATCTTCTCCCTGGTCGAGCTGGGTGAGCTGGAGGCCGCCATCGGCTTCAGCCCAGTGGCCTTCGCCATGATGGGCGTCACTTCTGTCCGCAGCCGGATGCGGAGGACTGTGGTGTTGGGCGTCTTCGTGCCCACGGTGCTGATGCCGTGGCTGCTGCTGTGCGCCTGCGCCTTCATCCCCCAGACCTCCTTCATGGGGAACTTCTGTGGCCTCTGCGTCGGCATCGCCTGTATCCTTCCCCCCGCGGTGGCCCCAGAGGCCGGTCCGGCGCAGGGCACAGTAGACTGTGTGTAGGGCTGTGTGTAGGCTGGCCCGGTCACAGGTCACAGGGTGCCAACTTCTGATTTGACACCATCTGGGTGGGGTCTGCCCTTTTCTCTAGGCACAGATTCCCTCCTCTGGAAAAAATCGGCAGAGTGCTGGGGGCTGGAGCAATAGCACAGCGGGTAGGGCATTTGCCTTGCATGCGGCCGACCTGAGTTCAAGTCTCAGCATCCCATATGGTCCCCTGAGCACCGCCAGGAGTAATTCCTGAGTGCAGAGCCAGGAATGGCCCCTGTGCATTGCCGGGTGTGACCCAAAAAGCAAAAAAAAAAAAAAAAAAAAAAAAAATCGGCAGAATTCCAATATTCTGATGAGATTTCTTTTATTTTTTTCTTGTGGTCTAGAGTATGAACATTTGACTAATGACGATGAGTTTGTTGGAAGGCCCTGAAGTACCCATTAGCCAGTGATGTTCCCTGGAAACACTAGGAAGCAGACTGATTTGGTTATTGGTTTGGTTTCGTTTGATCTTTTTTATCAAGGTATTTTTTTTTTATATATATATATATACAATTGAGTCTGGCGCCTTAGACCATTCGGCCATCCTGACACCCTGGAGCGATAGCACAGCAGTGGGGCATTTGCCTTGCACACAGCCAACATGGCTGACCCGAGTTCAATTCCTTTACCCCTCGGAGAGCCTGGCAAGCTACCGAGAGTATCTCACCCACACGGCAGAGCCTGGCAAGCTCCCCGTGATGTATTCGACATGCCAAACACAGTAACAACAAAGTCTCCAATGGAGACGTTACTGGGCCCACTCGAGCAAATCGATGAACAACGGGAGGACAGTGAACAGAATATACAATTGAGGCCACAAAGGTAGGTTATAAACATAAATTTACCATCAGAGGCTTATCAACTCAGACTGGAGACTTTACACAGATTTGGGCGATTAGGAAAAATAATTCTAACATACAAAGTGGGTTATGTTTTTTCACTTTTCCTTTTTTTTTCTTTGCCTTAGGGGCCACATGTGGCAGTCCTCAGGGGTTACTTCCAGTTTGGTGCTCAGGGGTCACTCCTGGAAGTACTGAGGGGAACGTGTGGTGCTGGGCTTCACCTGAGCTGCCCACTTGCAAACCCTTTGAACCACTTTCCTGGTCTGCGGGTTACTTTTTTTTTTCTTTTTTGGCTTTTTTGGTCACACCCAGCGATGCTCGGGGCTTACTCCTGGCTCTGTGATCAGGAATTATTCCAGGCAGGGCTTGAGGGCCATTTGGGATGCTGGGGATTGAATCGGGGTTGGCCACGTGCAAGGCAGATGCCCTCCCCAGTGCACTATAGCTCCAGCCCAAGGATTACTTTATTAAACATCAGAATTGATAGTGTTGTTGGACAAGGTATAGTCCTAAATCTCTCCAGTAAGTGACCCTGATAAACTGTCAGAGTAGCTAGTAAATCAGTCACATAGCTCTGTGTATCTCATTTTAAATTTAATTGATTTCAAGCCTTTTTTGTTTTTTGTTTGTTTGTTTTTTGCTTTGTGGGTCACACCCAGCAGTGCCCAGGGGTTACTCCTGGCTCTGCGCTCAGGAATTGCTCAGGAATTACCCCAGCGGTGCTCAGGGGACCATATGGGATGCTGGGAATTGAACCCCGGTCGGCCACGTGCAAGGCAAATGCCTTACCCGCTGTGCTATTGCTCCAGCCCCCTCAAGCCTTTTTTGACTAATTAGAAAACTGAAAGCTCTTAACGTCCCCATGAGCAGACAGTTAAGCTGCTTCTTACATGTTTTGATAAGCTGTTTTCATTATCTGGCAAGCCACCCGTGATGTATTCGATATGCCAAACACAGTAACAACAAAATCTCCAATGGAGACGTTACTGATCACTCAGTTTAAAATGTTTTCTCGTTGTCATGGGATTTCATTTTTGATCCAAAGGTAATTCATAAATCACTTGCTTATTTTCCACATGCTTGGCGATTTCCCCATTTCTTTCCAGTTTTTAATTATCACCAATTTTATTGATGTGGGAGAGAGAAGATGGTAGCACTGCAGCACTGTCCTGTGGCACTGTCCTTCCATTGTTCATCGAGTTGCTCAAGTGGGCACCAGTAACGTCTCCATTGTGAGACTTGTGGTCACTATTTTGGCATATCGAATACACCACGGGGAGCTTGCCAGGCTCTGCCGTGTGGGCAGGATACTCTTTGTAGCTTGCCAGGCTCTCCGAGAAGAATCCAACCTGGGTTGGCCACGTGCAAGGCAAGAGAAGATGGTAGTCTTAGAAAAATAAATGTAGCAGGGCTACATGAGTGATAGTATAGCAGGTAGGGTCCTTGCCTTGTATGTGGTTGACTGGGATTTGATCCGCAGCACTATATATGGTCCCTCGAGCTGGCCTCTTAGTCTCAGGACTCTGGGGTGGGTGACAGGACCAGCCCCCCACTGCAGAGGGGAATTGGGGGCCCACGTTCTCTAGCTGTGCCTCATTTTACTTAACCCGCCCACCCCAGACGGCATCTCCTACTGCTACTCAATTGATGTCTCTGAGCGCATGGCCCTGAAGCTGGACCGGAAGTTTCCTTTCTGCCTGATGAGGAAACTGTCCATGTTCAAGTACATCTCCAGCAACTCAGCAGAGAGGAATGCCGACAACTGCAGGCGGTGAGTCCGGGGAAGCGACGTGGACAGGACCCTGAGTCCAGGCGAGCGGAGTGGGGAGTGGGGCAGCCGTCGGGGAGATGAGGGAAGGGGGGCTGAGCCTCCTGCGTCCCCCCACCTTTCCCTCCAGGCCACACGCATGGTCAGGGTCTCACTCCCTCCCGCACTGCCCTGGGCCTGGGCCCTACTGAACTTGGCCAAATGAGGGATGGAGTGTGGAGATGCAGACGCTGCATCTGGCCTGAAAATCACGAGCAGTCATTCCTGGAGATTCACTGTGTGGGCGACAGCCAGAGCTCAGGGGTATTGCGCCTGCCTGGCTCCGGACGGTGGTTCCCGGAACCCAGGGAGGGTCTCAGGGGCTCGCCAGCTCCTCAAAACGGATGGTGGGCATCACCCCAGCGCACGCCCTGGGGCACTGGGAGCCCCCTCTCCAAGGCTGGCAGCCTCACACCCACGTGCGGCTCGGGCGGTTGGGGGGGTCTTCCCTGCTGCCTGCCCCCTCAGACCCCACTGCCTACGGCAGGCACGTAAGACTGCCGGGGTGTTTCAGAGTAGGGAGGAGTGGGGGTCCTCAGTGGAGCAACCGTGCTTGCAGGGGCATCAAGAGGTCTGCCAGGCACTTCTGTCTCCTTGCAGCCTCTGGCCAATCTCCCAGGAGGCCCAACCCCCGCATTAAACCTAAAGATCCCCAGACGCACCTGACTTCAGTGTCTGGCCGTTCTTCCCCTGCAAGGCTACTTGGTGGTTGGCTTTTGCAGTGCTGGAGCCAGCCCAGACCCCACATCTGACAGGCAGGTGGTCCACACCCAGTCCCCCCCCCCCCCCGTGGCCAGGTGTGTCCGTCACCTAACACCAGGGCTCCTGCTGTCCTATGCGGAACGTGGTCCAGTGGCTTGGAAGAGAAAACACATAGATAAATGCGCCTGTTCTGGCACAGACACCCCCACAGCTGCAGGGGGGCTCGGGGCTTTGTGGGGAGCGTGTCGGAGCAGCTCAGGCTGGCCCGAGTCCGTTTCTCCTGCAGGTCCTGCCCACAGAGTGGCCGGGCTATGGGGTGTGACTGGCCACACACACCTGTTCTGTAGGGGTCTGGAGACCCCATGTGCAAAGCTGGGGAGAAAGCAGCCCTGGGGGGCGGGGCCCTCCACACAGCAGGCTCTTCCCCGGGTTGAGAGGACGCCCTGCCTTTCCCCGTTCCACGCAGGGGGCTGCATGCCTTGTGATCCCTGATTGACATTCTGTCTCTTGTTCTCTTGCAGGCTCAATCCCCCCCCTGGCTCCTACCCCACGCAGAGCAGCTGCTCCAGTGCGCCCCTTGGCTACCCGCTGCAGGCGCAACTCTCCAACGGGGCCAAGGCTGCCTCCCTTCCGGTCCCCGTTCCCGGGACCATGCCCAGCCTGCCTCCCTACCAGCCTGCCTCCAGCCTGTGCTATGTGCAGAACCATCTTGGCTCAGCCCATAACCCCTCGGGGGTCCACCCAGCTTCTGGCGGAGCCTCCCTGGGGGTGCAGCCCCCTGCCCCCCTCAACTGCCCTGGTGTGGTGCCTTCCCGGAATCCGGCTGCTGCAGGGGCTGCGCAGGCTCCAAGGAACATTCCAGGGCTGGCTGTGATCCCCTGAGCCACTCCCTGGGGCCCCCGCTGCGCCCCCTGGGGGTCCTTGACCGCGTTATTCTTGGGACACATCTGTGCCATGCCAGCCCCTCCTCCCCTGGTCCCCTCTGTCTCAGGACCACTCTCGTGGGGGACAGGGACACCTGGCACTGTGACTGTGGCTCGCGTCCCCTCTGTTGTGTGTTTGCACTGCTCAATTCTCTCTCTGTGCCTGTGTCTGTGCCGCCCGTGTGGTGTTTCTCCTGCACCAGCTGGGCCTGGTGTCTGAGACCTTTGTATAAAGAGACTGCGTCCTCCACTAATGTCCATGTCTGTGGCCGGCCACCACTGAGAGGGCCCTGGGAGGGGGCTGTGGGTGCTAAGGGGAGCCGCTGGGGTGCTTAGGGGTGCCCGGGCTGTGAGCACTGCCCAGTGGCCTGGAAGCAGGAGACGAGAGCAGCCCCAGCTCTGCCCGTCTGACCCCTGGACTGGGCTCACCAGGATCCCTGGGGCAGGTGAGCCCAAAAAGTATCGCCTGGGGTTCCCTCCCCCATACCATGGGCTCGACAGGAAACACCCCGAAGGTAGCCATAGCGCTGGACCTTCCTCTCCCCCAGAGTGGGGAGTCCCAGCCTGACTTTCTGGCGGGTCCCAGAGTTTGGAGATGCTGAGGGCCCCAGTACTTAGCACACCAGCCAGGTGGGCCGGAAGGGACAGAAATCCGGGGGGGTGTCTCACTGGGGCTGGGGATGAGGATGAAAGGGGGCCTCTCCCCGAGGTCCCCAAGTAGCCTGGCCTAGGGGTGCTCAGAGGAGAGTCAGCCCCGACACTTCCACCAGCATGACTCTGGGTTCCAGGGCATGGGATGAGTGTGGGGGGCCCTGCACCCTGAATCTGAGTCTTAGCCTATGTCCTGGATGTCCCTGGGTGGGTCCCCAGCTGGCCCGTGGAGCCCACTGAGGGGATGCTTTCTCCCAGCTGCAGTTCCCAGCCATGGCCCATGCACTTGTTCCCAGAGCCACCAGGTTCTCAGGCCCCGAGCCGGAGGAGCCAGCGGCTCCATGAGCTGGAAGCTGGTTCCCCATAAGTATCTGTCACATGAATAAAGGGACAGGTGTCCCCTGCCCCGGGGGTGAGGGACGGAGAACTGAACTTCATAAGCGCCACACAGTGCTTAGGGGGCGGCCAGCTGGGCTTGGAGAGTGAGCAAGCTGGGGGCAGTGCACAGCCGGAGCTCTGCCGGGATGGAAGGAGGAACAGACCAGTCGCATCCTCTGGACACAGCACGTGAGGCTGGAGGAAGAGCTCCACTTTCTCCCCACAGGCTTCGAGCCTCCCCTAAGTACCAGGCAGGCAGGAGCTGCTGGGCCAAAGAAGTTTCCAGAGCTGGGGCTGGAGCGATAGCACAGCGGGTAGGGCGTTTGCCTTGCACGCGGCCCACCCTGTTCGATTCCCAGCATCCCATATGGTCCCCCGAGCACCGCCAGGAGTGATTCCTAAGTGAAGAGCCAGGAGGAACCCCTGTGCATCGCTGGGTGTGACCCAAAAAGAAAAAAAAAAAGTTTCTAGAGCTATTCCCATTTCACGGTTTGGCCAGCAGGGGGCAGCAGAGACGCGGTATCGCGCAGCATTCCCCCTCATCCTTTGCACTAGCTGCGATGAGGAAGAGGAGGGAGCCCCAGCTCTGCTTGGGATGCCCTCAGGGGGCCTGGCGTGAAAGGGGCCCGCCTGGGAGAGCCAGAGGAGAAACGGGCTTCCTGGAAGGGCCAGGAGGAGGAGGAGGAGGAGTGGGCATCTGGGCCCAGGGGCCCACTGGGAGCACAGCAGGGAAAGAGGCGGCTGCTCCCAGGAGCGCAGGGTGGGAAGGGCAACCCTGCAGGATAAGGATCCAGAGGTGGGCTGGCCTGGGGGGCTGGCCCGGAGGCTCATCTAGGTTCTCCCTCCTGCCCCTGAAGCTTGGCTCCTTGGGGACCCGCACGTTACCCCCAGATCTCGCTGGGACCCGCTTCCTCCTGGGGGTCCAGTTCCAGCCGCAGAAGAGCCAGGGGCCTGGAATGGGCAAGTCCAAGCGGGAAAGCGGAGCCCAGCTGGCCCCGGGGAGCAGGAACCGCAGGTAAACCCACAGCTACCTGGCACAGGCAGCACTTGACGTTTCGGACTCACCGAGCTGGGTGCTCGCCTCCATATCCATGCAAGTTCACGCAGGCGACTCACCTCCAGGTCGCACTCGTGCGGGAGGAGGACACACGCCTACGTGCCTGTCTGCACACAGCCACGCGGTCGCACACACCTGCGCATGCGCACACACACCCCCACGCACCACGAGCGTGCGCAGCGAGCTGAGGCCGCCTCCCCTCTGACCCAGCCAATCTCACACCCCACCCCCTGCCTGCCTTTCCCCCAAACACAGTCCACATGTGGCCTCGGGAAGGGAGAGGTGCAAAGGGTCAGTCAGCAGCAGGTGGCTGGCCTGCTTGGCGGGTGAGAGGTGAAGGAAGCCCTCCGGGTCCGAACATGCCAGTGCAGGGACCCGCATGGGAGACAAAGTTGGAAGGGTGTGACCCTCCCGCATCGGACAGGGACGGCAGGGCCCGGTTGGCCTCTGGGTGGCCAAGTGGCGCTATCTCATGGTCAAAAGCCAGGAGCCCAAGGAGATCCTACCTCCACTTCCATCTCCCCAACCCCACCCATTGGCTGGCCCTCTCCCTGGTCAGCCCACCTGCAGCCCGATGCCCCGAGAGGAGAGCAGAGAGCATCCCTTCTATCAGCCTCCCCTCTGCCTCTCACCTTCGCACTCCTGCAGAAAACACGCCCTCTGCACGATTTCAGTGAAAGCTCACCCTTCCTCCCTCCTTTCCTTTTCCTTCCTTCCTTCCTTTCTTCCTTCCTTCCTTCCTTCCTTCCTTCCTTCCTTCCTTCCTCCCTTCACTCTTTTCTTCCTCCCTCCCTCCCTCCCTCCACTCCTTCCTCCCTTTCTTCCTCCCTCCTTCCTCCCTTCCTTCCTCCCTCCCTCCCTCCCTCCATCCCTTCACTCCTTCCTTCCTTTCTCCCTTTCTTCCTCCTTTGCTTCCTTCCTTGCTTCCTTCCCAAACTAAGGATCCAAACTATGGGCACAGAGGAATGGTCCCTCTCAGGAACCCCAGCCTGCTCCTGGCCTCACACATGCCAGGGCAGGCAGTCTGAGAGCCCAGGTGACCAGCCAAGTTCCAATCCCCCACCCCCACCCCCACTGCCCTGATCATCACAGCACCTCCCTGTGCCCTTTGATCAACAGACTAATGGGGCTTGCAGGGGTCACAACTGGGTGTTTTCATGTGCATGCAAGATAAGCAGCCCCAACCTCCAGGCTGTCTCCTCGGCCCCTGCAGAGATCCAGCCAGGCCTGGGTGGGTCTCCCCCTCCCAGAAGGCCACTTGCAGGGACCCAGGGACACAGGCAGGGAGAAGATGACCACAAGACAGAGACAGAGACGCAGGAGAAGTGGGACAATGATGCATCCACAAGCCAAGGACACGCTGAGCTCGGTGGAGGGCCCCGAAGGAAGGAGGGATGAGGATGGTCCTTCCCTCTTGTCCTCTGAGAGAGGAGGGCCCCCACCACACTTCAATTAACACTTCTGAGCCCCAGATCAAAGTAAGGATCAGCTGCCCCAGCATGGGGTGCCTTGTTCCAGAAGCTTCTCCCAGCAGTCGCATTCCATCAGTGCTGGAGCTCAGAGCAGGATGTGGAGAAGGGCGTTCTGGGGTCCCCAGACTGAGCCAGCAGGTGTGTGGCCTGGCCAGGTGTGAGTGGGGTACAGGAGTATGCAAGAGAGGGGCTGGAGCGATAGCACAGTGGGTAGGGTGTTTACCTTGCACGTGGCCAACCTGGGTTCGATTCCCAGCATTCCATATGGTCCCCCAAGCACCACCAGGAGTAATTCCTGAGTGCAGAGCCAGGAGTAACCCCTGTGCATCGCCGGGTATGACCCAAAAAGCAAGGAGTGTGCAGGAAAGGCTGAAGGGGCCCACTACAGGAGTTTGGACTCGATCCTGCAGACGGTGGACACATTTCCATGGGGTCCCTGCCCTTCTTACTGGCGGGGGGCCTGCAGGGAGTGAGCAGGGTGGAAGTGGGCCTCCCGGAGCCGCCCTGGACATCACCCGGACCTCCGTGTGCCTGAGGTGCATGTGGAGCAGGGGTGGCTGCCACGTGACAGGCTGGCTCGTGGCCGCACGCTGGGCCGGGGGCATTCCTGTGGTCAGCAGATTAGGAACCTGAAACTCCCCAGCCACCTGTTGGTACTTTGTTGTTCTCTGCCCCTGGGTGTGTGCTGGTGTCTCTGGCTCCAGGTGCACAGAAGGTTCCCTGCCAGGGGTGGGTGAACCCGACACTTTCACCCCAAGGATGCTGAGTCTGGGCTCCAGCTTGCCCCAAGGCCATGCCCCAAGGCTCTGCCATCTGGCCTTGAAGCCCAGCGCACCTCCCTGTCCTAACAAAGAAGGCTGCAGTCGTCACATCCCCTCCCCCCCACCCCCCCACCCCCCCATCCGCGTCCCCTCAACCCTGGGTTGCTGGTAGGAGGGAGAGGGATCAGGATTCCAGTGGGTTAGGGGAGCCCCCGAGGGATGAAGACTCACTGTTGGGGGAGGGGTGGGGAGGGGAGGGTGGTCTGTTCTTCCAATATGGGCATTAGGTGGGAAGCCTGGAGGGGCCACTCAGCATCAGCCAGAACAAAGGCCCTTCTGCAAGGTGGCGGACCTGACCCCTGAGACTGTCCTGGAACGGCCTCCTGGGGTACTGAGATGAGGGTGCCAGCCACGCCCTGCCAACCTCCAGTCCCCATGCAGCCCTGCACTGGTCTCTGTCCTTCCTGGCGTCCAGCAGGGCCCCGACAGGCTGGGGGAGCTGCCCACCGTGGGCCCACTCCCAGGCTTGCCGGAGGAAGTCTGCCCTCCCTTCACCTGCCCCCCCTCCCCCCCACCACACCTCCACCCGTCCCTCCTGGCAGGGGTGAGGCTGCTTCCCTGAGAACCAGGCTGGAGGGGTCGGGTTGCAGGGAGGGGGCTGGCTCAGGTTACCCCTGGCCCCGGGAAGTGGCTCAGGTTAGGTAACTGGCAGCAACCTCAGGGGACCAGCCCCAGGCCTGCTGCTATCCTGCTAAGCCACCTCAGGAACAAGGGGCCTTGTCCCCTCACTGCTCCCCTCCCCCCCCCCCCCACCT